AGGAGAGCAAATTATCCTAAGATTTAGGTGGCTAAAAATTAATTAATCCAAAAACTATGATATCAAACATATTTTATACAACCTAAACTACCCAATTCACGTGTACACCTCACGCTTCACTCTTCTTCTCCAACCCCCCTCTCATTCTTACACGCACGGCAGACCAGAAAAGGAGACTGGTTGTCGTGCCTCATCCTTCAACCATCATCGCCGCCATGCTAGCCTTGATGGTTGCCTCTCAACACCACTGCTCCAATCCTCTAATGATGGCCAATAACCCAACGGCCCAACCCCTTTGCTAGTCGAGACTCTCTCGCGCCATTCGTTCTTAAACAGAGAGTTACGAAACTCTCTCTACGCCAGCCACCGTACTCAATAGTTCCGGTAAAGACCCAAAACCTTCTCCTTCCTCTAATTTATTTTACTATTTTCTGTTTTAATCTCAGATTGGTTTTCAACAGGAAAAGAAAAAAAACAAACAAAAGCAAAAACAAAATGGTTACTGGTTTTTGTTAGAAACTAGACATAGGAAATACCTTTGAGAATATTTGAAAATTTGCGCTGTCCTTCGTTTTCGTGCTTAAGATTGTTTTATTGAATCGGATAAATGAAAGGAAGAACCCCTCTCTTTACACACTGCTTTCCGTTTTCTCTCGTTTACAGTTGCTTTCTTCTCTTTTCTTTCTTGTGTGTTCTCCCTTTTTTTCCCTGTAATTTGTGATGATTCCCCAAGTTGATGAGTGGTTATTCCCTTAAAAAAACTGACCATCCCCTCCATTTACAGTTTTTTGATAACTCAAAATACCCCCCACTCTCTACAAACCGTTCCCTCTGTTTTCCTGCTCAAAACTGCCTGTCTTAGTGGCCTAATCCAACTGAGCACGGGTTGGGTTAAATATCATGTTGGGCTCGATTCGAATTGTCTAATCTGCTATAAGCTCGGACAAAACGAGCATCTACAACTTAGTTCATCTTAGTAATATTTATCAACTCTGCATTTCTGACCCCATTTTTTTCTCACAAGCATTTCATCGAACATCTATGCTTCACCTGAGATAATCTGTACCTAACATTACACCTTGAATCGTTGATGGTCCCGATAGTCCATTGGTCGGGTCTTCTCTCAATGAACCCTTATTCAAGTCAATACCTCCACATAATTCAAAGTTAGATTAGAATTTCTCATGCATCACCGACTAAAAAGTTACGCTGGAAAGGAGAAGAGAAGCGAAAAAGGAAATTCGAGATTAAAAAGGAATTTGGGGTTTGGAATGAAATTGAGGACTGTGTTGCAAGTTTTAAAAGTTGGGGGACCTAAATGCAAGCACCTGAAAAATTCAGTGACCATATTGCAAACGTACTAACGACAGTGTAACGATGGGGACTATATTGCAAACAGACTAAATGTTGAAGGACTGTATTACAAGTTTTAAAAGTTGAGGGACCTAAATGAAAGCTTTAGAAAAGTTCAGTGACCATTACCATACTTTACCCTTATTATTATGATTCTTATGTTCGGAAAATGACACTGGTTTAAGTTGGATGTTAATATGATGATTGCGATATGATAGTTGTTTGAGATTTTGGAGTAAAATTTTATTATATCATAATCAACAAATTAATATTTAGCAAAGACGAGTTGGGAAAATAATAAATAATCAAGTGATCATTTTGCACCTTTTAACAGTCGAGGGACTCAACAAAACAATACTATATAATCGAAATATTATTTTGTAACTTTTAATAGCCAAGATAATTTAATAAAGCAGTAGTACCCTATAGTCCAGATCATTTGCTTTTTATTGAATCGATCAACTCAATTGATTTAATAAATTACTTTAAATTATTTATAATCAAATCGATCAACTTAACTGATTAAACCGACGTGATGTTGTGTTGATTATGATTATAAAGTTTAGTCGATTTGATTATTGTATAAGACGATCGGTTAATCAATTTAATCATTTACTATCCTGTTAACAAAATACAACAACTAAAAAGATACAGAATAAAGAGTAAAGTACATAAATAGTCTCTTATTGTTTTATTAAGTCCATAAGTTATTAAAAGTTATGAAACTGTCTCCGACTAAGAGTGTTTCTTTTTTTAGACACTTCACTATTAAAAGTTATAAAATGGTTATCCGATTATTCATTAAGTTCCAAACTCATCATTTTTCGTTAAAAAATGATGATATCTAAGCTAAATGTAAACATGATAAAATTTGATCCAGAAATCTCAAACGACTATCATATCTCAATCATCATGTTAACATCCAACTTATACAACCATCAATTTTTTAACGAAAAAAGACGACTTTAGAACATAATGAATAGTCGGGTGACCATTATGTAACTCTGAATAGTCGAGAGACTTAATAAAACAACATTCTATAGTTAAAGAACCATTTTATAACTTTTACGAACACCATTTATGTACTATGCCCTAAAATAAAACATGAAGCACCAAACATAATATCCTTCCATACATTATGTTCACAAACATCACACTCATATGAGACACAATTCATAAGCATCATAAATTCTCCAAAGTTCAGATTACAAACACCATAACCAAAGTTTCAAAGCATTTTACTTGATCAAATGTATTATATAGTCTCATCCATATATTATATATAGAGAGAGGGTGAGAATCTACTTATATAATGTAAAACTCTTTTAGTTTTACACAAATTTAGGATCGTTGAATAAGTGAAAATAGATGGTTGAGATTTTTTTCCAGGAAATATCTTCACATTTCTTATTTTAATCTCAATCATCTGCTTACACTCATTCAACGATCCTAAATTTGTATAAAACTAAAAGAGTTTCGCACGCACGCGTTTATGGGACAATGTTTTATTATGGGACACTGTTTTATTGAGTCTCATGACTATTAAAAGTTACAAAATGTTCTCTCGACTATAGGATGTGGTTTTGTTGAGTTTCTCAACTATTAAAAGTTACAAAATAGTCACCCTACTATTTATTATGTTCCAAATTCACCATTGTCCGTTAATTTTGAAACTTGAGCTGGATGTTTGTCTGTTGTTTGAGATATGATAGTTGTTTGAGATTTTAGGATCAGATTTTGTCATATCTTAGATAGCAGATTAATATCCATCTTAGATTATCATCAAATTTTTAACTAAAAAAGGTGAATTTGAAACATAATGAATAATTGAGTGATCATTTTGTAACTTTTAATAGTCAGGGGACTCAACAGAGTAACATCATTCAACAGAGTAACATCATATAGTCGAGGGACCATTTTATAATTTTTAACAGTCGTAGACTTAACAAAGCAACACCCTATAATTGAGGGATCATTTATATACTTTACCCAAAAAAATAAAGACTTTTACCACAAAATTAAATATGATCAAAACTCAATAAATCCAAACTATTTCGTTATACTAATGGGATGATTTCATGTTAGAAGACGAAATTTTAAAACTTTAGGAGGAGATAAATTTATAAAATTCCAATGGTAAAAACAAATTTTTAATAGAAAATATATTAAAAAAATCTAAAATCTATGATAGTTTTAAAATTTTAAGCGGACTATTAGCCTCACCCACCCATCGGTCCATCCTTAGTAATGATATTTTTAACAAGTATTATTTAGTTAGGTTACATCTTCATTTCCTTCAAAGTTAGCTTTTGGAGACAAGTCCTTTTCAATGTCATTGTTTTCAAGTTGGATTAGTCTTGGTGTCTATTGCTCAAAGGTTCTCCATCATCTTCATTATGCATTTGCTTTTTCTTTCTTTGAATAACTTTTTGTTGTGAAGTCTAGAATTCGAATAATGCATTTTCAATTAGCATGTCGATGTCAAAATACACTTAGGTCTCTCGGTGCTCGAATCGAGGCCTCAAAAAATAACAACAATTATTTTTATTATTGAGGATCTTAACTGATAGTATCATTTAGGATAAAGATAACAATAGATGAACAGAAAATATTTATTATATGTATTCATTTAAACGTAGATATGAAGTCCATAAGAAATGTGGGATTTTTTCCATCTCTAATTTAGAACCAAAGTGTAAATGTGACAAAGTTGAGGCACCTGTTTGCAATTGACGGGTAGAAATTAAAGAGTAAAGCATGCAAGCATTGCACGCTTGCTATACCATATGACCATTAATAGGCCAACCTCTTTTAATGGCAGGTGCATGGCTCAAATTTTCAAATCATCATCTTGATTCATTGCTTTCCAAAGCACCATGTCATATGTCAATCAATATTAATTGGTCCATCAACTTCCACTAATTTGCAGATATGGGAGGAACAAAGTTCAACTTTTATGACTCGATTGTCTCTTGAATCAATATTAGTACCGAAACGTATGTAAAGTCGATTCGTAAAAAGTATCTTTAAATAAAATTGGCAAAAAGACATACTTTTGAAGAAAAAAAATCCATGTGGCCCTTATTATGTTTTCTCCCAATGTGATCCTCCAACTCAGAAAATAAATTCAATGTGGTCATTTGACTAACGTTTTTTCGTCATTGAGCGTTATGTGCTGGCGTGACAGTCCACGACGGTGTTGACATGGTAGTCCAGGATGACAGATAAATGTTGGAAATGACATGATAAATTGCTAAATTGGTAACTCAAACATGACAGATGAATTGCTACATCAGCACCGTTAACCATCACTTCAGTACCTGAACTGGCACGCCAGTACTGTAACGGTCAACGATGAAAAACGTTAAAAATAACATGACAGATTTACTTACCGAGAAAAATATAACACCTTATATCATTGGGATCACTCATTGGTTCGTTTTAATTAAGTTATTTCAGTCCAATGATGTTATTTCATAAAACTTTAACCTAATATAATAGGAATGTACAAAAATTTTCCATGATTAGGGCACCAAAATGTTGGTTATGGGTCAGTGTACTCCAATGGTGAATTCAGTGATCAATCAAAGCTTTTAAAAGCAATCCCAACACATTACCCCTTTTCTTTCATTTTCTAATTACTTTCCTTCCATTTGAAATTCCATCCTCCTACATCTTTCTCTCTCAATTACCCTCACTTTCTCTCTTCCCAAACAGCTCTCATTTCTATGCTAAAGAGATGTCGGGCATGCAGGGAAGAAGAGGGTTTCTAAAGAAACTCAAATTCAACCCTACAATGATCAACACTTTGAAACAAGGCTTAGTCTTTCATCAGCACATTGTCTCCAACCAAAACTGCAAAACAAACATCGTCGATGTCAAAGATCGAAAAGACGACGAATTCAACGTCGAACATCCGTGTTTGACGGATTTCGAAGAGAAAAGTCCGCCAGACGGCAAGAACGCGGTCGTTTTCTATACGACGAGCTTACGAGGGATCCGTAAAACATTCGAAGACTGCAGCAGAATAAGGTTTCATTTGGACAGTTTCAAGGTATCAGTCCAAGAGAGAGATGTTTCAATGGACAAGGGCTTCAGGGAAGAGTTGTGAAACATGTTGGGCGGTCGTGTCATCCCTCCGAAGCTCTTCGTCAAAGGCCGATACATCGGCGGAGCCGACGAGGTCGTCGGACTTCACGAGCAAGGGAAGCTGAAGAAGCTGTTGGAAGAGATACCATCGAGTGGCAATATTATCGCCAACAATGTGTGCACTTCATGTGGCAATCTGAGGTTCTTGATTTGCTCCAGCTGCAATGGCAGCCGCAAGGTTTATGAAGAAAAAGACGGTGATCATGGCCATCATCATGAGTTCTGCATCAAGAAATGCAATGATTGTAATGAAAATGGATTGATTAAATGCCCGACTTGCTGCTGAAAATTACATGCTGATGTTTCATCAATTCAGTGTTGTGTAGATGAACAAAATGGTGAAGCTCTTTGTATCTAATTTCCCTTCGTCAACTAATATATTAACAATGGTCTAAATTATGTATTCAATTTGTTTCATGTGTTTGAAGATATTATTAAGATTGAAATCTATATATATATATATATATATTATATTGCACGAACCAAACGATATCAATGATAAAAGAATTATTGTTATTTTTTAAGGTCTAAAGTTCGAGTACTAAAAATATAAGGGTGCGAGCATTCAAAATTATGTTGCATTGAATTATTTTTTTTGAGATTTTAGGGATTTTAATATTTATTAACTGAATTAAACATTTAATTATTTATTTATCGGTATATATGTTTTTTTCAAGTAAAATTAAGAATTTGAATTATGCATTTTTTTAATACGATTATAATGTAGTATATATTCAGTGGTGGAACACAGTTAGGATAAGTGGGGCTATGACCCCCCAAAAATTTGAAAAATTTAATTTTAGACTCTTAAAATTTTCAAAAAATTAATTTGGTCCCCACAAAATTTTAGAAATTCATATTAAATTTTAATTTTTCTGAATGTTCTTAATTAAATAACTCCCATAAATTTTAAAAATACTCATTAAGTCTCTTAAATTTTCAAAAAATTTATTTAGACCCCAATAAATTTTTTGAAAAAAATATAAATTGAATTCTTTAAATATTTTAATTTAAACCTCTAAAATTTTTAAAGTTTTGAGTTGACCCCCCAAACTCTATTATCAAGTTCCGCTATTGCATCTATTCATAAGATTTCTTAATTATTGACGACACACATACCCTACAAACACAACTACTTGAACCCAATAACTTAAGAAAACGACTTCATTTAATCAATAATTCCATTCAATAAGTTCTAAGAATTAAGTGGTTAGAGAAAAAAAATTAAAGCTCTCCTCAATTTTAGGATAAAAGTGATAACAAAGTTAATATCAATCAATAGGGTTAAAAACAAACTTTATTTATCCTTTTTGCTATCACTTTCCAGAAGAGTCAAAAGGCCAGCATTACCAACCAATTTCTTTTCACTTTTCACTCCCAAGTGTAAATAAAAAATAAAAAGAAGCAAAGTTTGGTAGTGTGATTATTGATTTCAAATTCGAATTTTTAATATATATTTTTATTTTAAATTATAGAATCTTAAAATATTTATATTATTATTAGTTTAAACCGAAATGATTTAAAACCTAAATAGATACAAGATGAAAACAACGAGATTGATGAAAGTTTGGTAGTGTGAAATTCACCAATTTGGAGAAGCATGGAAAAGGATATGTTAAAGGTGGGAGGTTGACAATAGATGAGATTGAAATGATTATGAAGTAGGGCAATAAAGAAGGCATGCACATGGGCTCTTCCTTGAGATGTAGATAAAGTCATTGAGAGGAATCCAAAACAAATGTGATCATGACAAGAAGTAAGAATAGGATGTAATTTAATCTAAAATTGAAGGGTTTTGATATGATTCGATTTGATAGGATCAGATTTTCTTAAAATATTTGAGTTTAGGTCAAGTCAGGTTCGACTGAAGGTTGAAAAAACTTTGACCTCACCCAATTCGGGGATAATGATGTATTTTTTGTTACAAGTGTTATTATTATTTTAATTAAGTATTATTTTATATTGGGTTGAATTGAATTTATACTCTAAAAATTCGAACCAGGTCGGAATTAGATGGAGGATATAAAATTTGTAGGTTAGGTCGGATTCGGGTGGAGGATACATATTTTTCAGGTTGGATCGGATTTAGGTGAAATGTATAAATTTTTTGAGGTCGAGTCGGGTTGATCAATTCCCTACCCAACCCGACCCGTTGCCATCCTAGGTAAGAGTATCACTTTATAATTATAAACAAATAAAGCACATCTTCATTCAAATTTGATCCTTTAATAGCTTTTTTTTTTGAAAATTTGGATTACAATTTTACCTGAAATAATTAACGTATTAAACTATTTTAAGTTTTGAACTAATTAATAAGAATTGTAAAGTGATTAAATCATGTCAAAATAAAATACATGGACTAAATCCTAATTTTGAACATAGTAAAGAGACCAAAATCATAATTTGACCAATACAACTGATAACAACAAGGCGAAAAACTATTCTTTTCCGTATATGTACACTTAGCGTATCCGATCCCACACGTATTCTTCTTATGTTCTCGTGATCTTAATCCCCAAACACGACCTTGAAGCACAGCAAAAGAATAATTCAGAAGCTCAAAACATATTCAACTTGTTCACGAGGTTTTGACAGAGAAAAATGCTGTTAAAGAACCAAAAGAAGCATCTTTATGAGAAAGTTCCCTTCTTTTTTCTGTAATTGGACCATATGGTCTAAAGAATCTTTTCTTTTTCTCGGCCCCCAAACACCACCCTTGAGAAAGCTCAGCTTTGCCTTCTGTAGAATACAGGGAAAAAGAAAAGAAAAGAAAAGAAAAGAAAATTTGGGTTTTCAGTTAGAGAATCATACTTGTCATCTGCAATCATGTGGGATCATATTATTTTTGCCATCAGTCAAACAAAGCTGCAATAGTACATCTGGAGCAAAAACAGGAGAATATTTCGATAATTGTTGAACACAAATTTTATTGATCATGTTCTTGCTAAAAATATACTCGTATTCGACACTCATACTCGAGTCCAAAGAGTTCCTCTTGGTTAAATTAAACTGCATTCACATCATAAGATACTCATAGCTAAAGAGAGAGAAAACAGGTTAGGGTAAATCATCACTTTTCCTAGGATTTACTCATTTTACAGTAAGTCTCTATGCAGCAACTTCGGTTAACGGAGCTTCGGCCAACTGCCATTCGGCTGTTGTCATTTGAGTAACGGTTGTCATCGGAGTTGTGGAAGTCTTGGGTCGTGGTTGGAAGAACTCGGTATAGTGGAATTCGATCTGTAGTCGGTGATGTAACGGTGTTGAAGCCATTAAACCCTTCTTGATATCTGTCTGCAATTCCCTGATAGGTATAGCAGCCAAAAAGCTCTTAATGTATTCCTTGCAAGACTCCTTTCCCCGGCAAACAACCTCCTCACCATCCTCATTCTTAACCGATTCCTCGGGCTTGGTTGCTATGGACCCTACAACAGAACCGTCTTCCTTTCCATTGACCTGTTGAACCTGTGAACTTTTCAGTTTGGTTGCAGCTGTTGCGATCTTCTCATCACCAGTTGGTTTATCTTCCGCTGATTGAGCCGTATTAGCTAGCTTGTGAATTACGGTACTGCTGTCGAATTTCAAGATGTAAGCTTGATCGCATCCCTCATAAAGCCTCTCTCCCAATGTGTCGATTATGTAGTAAGCTTCAGTTTCGACCTTCAGGATGAAAAAATGGTCGTTCCAACTAACGATGTATAACTGTGGTTCACCATTATTAAGACATTCTTCACTGGCACGACTAATCTCATCCCAGATGTTATGAAAAGACATTGCCCCATGCAAAAAGTCGAATCTTCCCTCATCCATCCCCTCTGGATGGAAAAACCCGATAAAGGACTTTCCTGGAACTACAGTTAGAGAACGTATTTTCGCTTGGAGAACCGTCTCGAGATCAAAGTGTTTGTCAGGAAACCGCTCCCTATAGGTTTCATTCTCACAGAGGTTCCTCCATTCCAACGAGCCATCTCTGATCAAACTATCGAATTGAGACTTAATTGGCATCAGATCACGGTTATTCTGAAACCAATCGGCAATGACAGCAACAAGGGCAGTACATGCACTTTCACCTGCTGCTCTCTCACTCCGTTGATCAATAGAAGCAAAGAAGACTTGACCTTGAAGCTTCATGTTCCCATCACGGCTTACCACTTCCTTTTGTTCCCAACTGCCGATTGCAAAATTATCGTCCCCAAAATCAGAAACCGATGAACTATTTGCAGATGAATCTTCATACGTCTTGTGCCACTGCCAAATGAAATGGTAGTTAGATTCAGAACTTCATATGCTTTAACTCAAACTACCGGAATTTATAAAAGAATGAGTTGCATTAGAATGTAGGATCTAAAAATATCGAATCAAATACATAAACACATGCGTCTTGAGAGTTGCATGAATTCATAAGAACATTAAGATATAACGTGGCAAAACTCGGGATTAAAAATCCGATGCAAGAGCATCGATGATCAAAAGATGTAATGTGAGAAATGATTATTACCCCAAGTGCATGGGATTCATCATAGCTAAGTTGACGGCGGCGGTCGAAATCAATGTCATCCCCACCTTCTTCTCCATAAGATTTCTTCAACAATGGCTCCCCTTTAACTTCTGGAGATCTGAAGCTCGGCTTCCTTTTTTTCCAAGGCAAAATGCTGCGCTTCGAACTTGACAGCAAGGATGGCTCCGACACTGATGCAGCGGAATCCTTGACGTTTGAGGAGCCAACATCAGATTTATGATTGCTGTAGTACACCCAATCCTCACCTTCCTCGTTGATCTTCATGCTGGAATAAAACGATCCTCCAGCATAGTTTGCATGCGCCAGAGTACCGTAACTAAATGACTTCCGGACAATAGAGTCACCCTTGCCCTCATCCGATTCTCCCTCAAAATCATCAAGTGAATCTGTGTCCAATGGATACTCACCATCACTCCTGGCGGAACACCTTCCTTCACTGCCATCATCCTCTCGACAGGCCTTTTTAGCTGTCCTGGTAGAAACATACTCTTTGAAAATTTTCACTTTCCTAAGACCAGCTTTAATCGCGGAAACCTCATCCTTTTCCATCGAGACCGTTTCTCCAGATCGGACAGGCGATGCAACAGGCACTAATGCTCTTTGTACCGGCTCAGTGGCTTCTTGAGCAGTTTGTAGTTCCAACAGGTTAAGCGATATCTACACGATTAATGACAACCTAAAATCAGAAAACATAAAAAACCTGAACAAAACCAATGAATCAAGTCGAGGCACATACGTAAAGTAGCGGACCAGGCTCAGCAGCACCGGCGGAGACCATGACCGGGATGTTTAACTCAAACTCTTTCTGTTCGGCATAAGAAGCGTATTCAGCGAGATTCAACGATGCCGTCCCGACGATGACAGGAAACTTGTTCTTAGGTCCCTGGTTCAAGCCCTGCATCAAGAAAAATCACTTCAAATTAGTTCAAAGAGATAAAGAGCTAACTTATAGATAAACAAGCCCTTGAGGTAAGAATCCTGAATCCCTCAGCCTCCAATGATCAGTTAATCAATCATATTATTATGCTCAAGTAAAGCTACATACGTACATACGTACATACGTACATACGTACATACGTACATACGTACATACGTACATACGTACATACGTACATACGTACATACGTACATACGTACATACGTACATACGTACATACGTACATACGTACATACGTACATACGTACATACGTACATACGTACATACGTACATACGTACATACGTACATACGTACATACGTACATACGTACATACGTACATACGTACATACGTACATACGTACATACGTACATACGTACATACGTACATACGTACATACGTACATACGTACATACGTACATACGTACATACGTACATACGTACATACGTACATACGTACATACGTACATACGTACATACGTACATACGTACATACGTACATACGTACATACGTACATACGTACATACGTACATACGTACATACGTACATACGTACATACGTACATACGTACATACGTACATACGTACATACGTACATACGTACATACGTACATAATTTTCTAAAAAATAACTTACATTGAGGACAGAGAAAGCGATCTCCCATGGATGAAACGCGTTGTCTTTATAAGTCGATAAGCTACAATGGGTTTGAAACTCCTCGTCCCACGAAACGGCGTCGTTTGCGTCAACGCCTTCGACTTCTCTCGTGAAATTCCTCTTCACCGTTCGCCTCAAAGAACTCAGGGATGCCTTCTGACCTTTCCATCGAATCTCCACCGTTAATTTCTCCGGCTTCTCCTCATCTTGCCTCACCGGATCCCACCCTTCCAGCCTCCTCACGATCAACTTCACCTCGTACTTCTTCGAAACCAGCGGTGGCCACGGTCGCCACTTCATCATCTTCACCACCATTTAAAAGAGAACCCAGAGACGGAAAAACAAAAAGAAACGTAATTTCCTAGAATTGTTTGCAGAAAAACAAACGAACCCAGAAATCTAATATGTCTTCTCCCCCAGATCTTCTGAAATATAAACACAGAAACGAAAGGGGTTCTTGAATCAAAGAGAGGGTAGTTAAAGAAATGATCAAAAATGGAGATTTTTAAAAGTTAGAAGAAGAATTGATTTGATTTGGAAGAACAGACAAAGAAAGACCAGTCGTTGGGAAAGAGAGAGAGAAGGGAAAGGATGGTTTTATAATAAAAAGGGAAAGACAGAGAAAGAAGAAACAGAGTTAACGTTGGAAGAGAATGAAAATTATAGAACAGAGAGAGAGAGAGAGAGAGGGAGGGAGGGAGGGAGGGAGGGGTTAAAAATGTTAACAACTACCGCAATGACTAAAGGAGGATAAGGGGAAATCCAGCGGAGCAAGAGATTAACAAATGATGGAACTCCTAAAATATATTGTTGAAGAAGATAATTATAAATCTCAAATATAATTTATAAGATAAATATAAAAACTATTAATTCAATTTAATGTTGATTTACCCTCTAATATATTGATTTATTATTTTTAATTTGATTTAATTAATTTAATAATTTTATATTATATAATATTTAGTTATCATTGTATTTTTTTAAAAAACGACTTTTTTATTGATATTGTTTCCAAATCAAGCTAGACAGTTTGATATATGGTTTTTATTTAAAATTTGAGAAATAAATAAATATATATATATATATATTAAAAAATAGTAGTAGATAATAACTATTATTAAGTTATAGGCATGTAGTCTAATCAATTAATTTATGGATAATTATGGATAAACATATGTTTATTTTATGTTATTAATGTAATGTTCACAAACTAAATTATCTGAGTGGATATAAGAATAGTTATTAATTTTAAAGTTTTCGAGATGGGGTATTAAATATTACATAGTATTTGAGCATGATTGAGAATCTTTAAAATAAATAAAAATATTTAATATTATGACTTACTATGTTTAGAAATATTTTTATTTTTTATGTATATAAATAATTGGTTAATTAATTCAAATATCCATATTAAGTATTATAGAGGTTTGTTTTAGGAAATATTTTTAAAGTAATTTGTTTTATTTATAATATCAATATTTAAATATCTGACATTATTTAAGAGATTTAATGCCTCATTCTATTATATTAACTTACTACTAAAATAATTTAACGTTTTAACAAATTGTTTATTCACTTAATAAAATACTCAAAAGATGCATTAATCAAGTTATCTCAGTTATTAAAGTAGTTGTTATCTCTTGATGTCTTAAGTTTGAGCACCAACGTATGCAAACAGAAGTGTTTGAGTGCTTTAATTGTCAAATAATTTAGAATATTTAGAACAAATACTATATTATAATCACCTCAGTCTAATAAAAAACACTCAAAAGATAAAGAGCCTGAGGTAATTTATATTAATATTTATTTAGATTAAAATAACTTCATTAATATTTATTTCTTTAACAATTGTTAATTTTAAGGGGGGTTCAAGTTTTTTTATTTTTTGTCAAGCTTATTTGAAATTTGACTAATATATATCAAATTGTCTAAATATTATTATATTAAAAAATTGTGAGAGTGGTTAGCCATTGGTCAGATATTTTAACTACTTTTGAAATTTTATATTATAGCATTTATTATATTTGTATTATTGAATTGTAAGTCAACGTTGAAGCTCTACACCCAGATTTTGCTTCTTTCACACCAAACATTTGTTTATTATTAATGCTATTGTTTGTTCCTTTGGACTTTCTTCATATGTATAGGGTGGGTTGCCATAAATTCTTATTTCCTCTCCATTTTTCAGTTAAAAATTATATATTAAAAACAATTGTTGGGTTGAGGGGCCACATACCCTCTCAGTCCATCACTAGTTCCGTCTCTATCTTAGTCTTATAACTTATTTTTGATGTATCATTCTATATTTTATCTTTAATTTAAAATCTTAAATTATAAACATTGTAATTTAAGTATCTAAATTAGGATAGAGTATAGAATTGTATAATTAAATAATTTTGAGTGTTAAATTGATATAAAAATATGATAAAAATGAAGGTAATAAATTGAATCTATTACAGAAATAAACGTGATCCTTAAACTTATATGAATTAAATATAAAAAAAAATTACTAGGTTGGGGGCCACAGACCCTTAATACTTCTGTCCTTGTCTTAGTATTATAACTTATTTTTGATACAGTGAATTTTTCTTCTTTGTATGTGATTTGTGATTTTTTTTTCGTTCCGAGATTCATATAATTTTCGAACATCGAAATTTAGGTACCTTTATCTTTCAGCCATCCATCATGGGGTGTGGGACAATTCCATTTTAGAGCCTTAGAAGTTGGGCAAGTCATCATCAACTTGCATTTGCTTCAACATTTCTTAACCTCAAAAACGTTTTAAATGATGATTTAGTTGGCCAAATTGGTGATAAAGTTTAGGGCCATATGCCCCATACGTGGGATTCAATCTAGTTACTATTCCTCAACACCATAGGTTTAGACCCTTTTGCCCCTTAGATAACACCTGTAAAAACGAGTAAATAGATAATTGGGGTAAACTACGCATTTAATATCTAAACTATCAATTTTGATATGTTTTAGTATTTAAACTTTCAATTTTTTAAAATCATATATAATGTTTAGTTTTTGTTTCATTTTACTACCCACCGTTAAAAATTTAGTGCATTTAATACTTAAACTATCAGTTTTAGTTCGTTTTAGTACCTAAACTTTTCATTTTTTTTAAAGTTAACATTAAATTTTGAACCGGTACTAAAATGAAACAAAAAATTAAACTTTATGTATAGTTAAAAAATTAAAAATTTAAATACTAAAACTGATAGTTTAAGTACTAAACACATAATTTATCCTTAATAGTATTGATATATCATATTAAAATTTTGAATTATTGTATAAAAACAATATTGTATATATAAATTATTGCATAAATAATATTTAAAATGAATTTTGTAAAGATTATTCTAGATATTTTAGTATATCAAATCGATCAAACTTTAAATTTTTAATAAAATTAATTTTATCGATCGATCTGATCCGACATCTTAAAATATTTATAAATATTGGTATTTTAAGACTAATTATTATTAAAAAAATGTAATTCATTAATCGGTTTTGAAAGAACATTTTTTTATATTTGATAGTTTTTTTTCTTTTGGATCCGAAGATTTTGCCTTGACAAATTCGCATGTCTGACTATGGTGGGTGAGTCTCTCAATGGGGATTTCTGCATTCACAATGACTCGAACTCGAGATATGCTTAAGCGTAATCAAACCGTTTACCATTTAAATCAATCTCGTTGGTATATTTGATAGTTAATATTATATAAAATCAATATTTTTATTTTTATATGATGTTAAATAAAAAAACTAAAATCTATTAGGTAAAGATTGAAGACACTACCCATAAATTTATATAAAAATCTTTTATAACCCAATAATTAGGTTCAACTTTTTTTATACAATTAAGTATTTGATATTTTAATTATGTAGTTAGGTATCTATTTTTTTAATGATATAATTATGCCAAAATATTTAAGTACCATATTGCATATAAAAGCTAAAATTAGGTACCAAAGTTATATTTATTAAAGGACAACGAAAGATTGACACAAACTTTTTGAAATACAAGCTTTGCAACGAATGAAAAAAATGCCACGTGTTGAACACAATATTTCATTGGACGGATGGTGCTTGCTTGCCTGTGACAGCAGTGTGAGCAAAAAATAGCCGTTACCCGTTACACGTGTCAGCTTGAAACATTTTTTTTAACAAAAACAATTAATTTTATTCAAAAAGTGAAATATCTTAAAATATAATAAAAATTTTCGATTATAATCGTAAACTAAATACATAATTAAGACAATTTTCTATAATCATACAAACAACCAAAATTAAACAAAGATAAATACAAATGAATTTGATATCAACGACAAACAAATCACAAAAGGGATAAATTATTGGAAGATCACAAATAAAATCGCAAACTTAAGCCATATGAAAAACTATCTAAAAAAGCAAAGCTATCCAAAATCCACAATTAGAGTCCAAAGCAAGAAAGATCAATTATATATCAAATAAGCGACATCTAAATTAATTATGATGATGTCAAATCAACCCTTAAAAAAGATAAATAAATAAAATTAATCAAACAACCGAAAAATATGTCAAAAGACAAAAGAATGCGTACCACAAAATTAAAATTACATTTTTATTTCAAGTGTATCATTCATTATAATCAATAAAAATGGTAAACTATATTAGTGACCATCGAACTATAGCCACTTTTTATTTTGATCATCATTTTTTAATTTTTTATCAATACAATCGCCAAACTATTTAAATACATTCAATCAGACCAATTGTTATTAAGTTTTAATTAAAATGTTGACGTGATAGTTAATAAAATTGATATAATTACACATTTGGTCACTGTTACTTATATATTTTATCAATTTAGTCATGATTTTAATAAATTAAAATAAATTTAATCTTTGAATTAGATCATGACACGTGTTGTCACCCAATTAGAGGATTTAATTTATTTTAATTTAATAGGTTTATTTTCTATCAATCAGAGGGTGTCACATGCCACCCTTTGGTGAAAAGAAAATTAAAGAATACATAAATAAGAGTGACTAATTTGATTCGAAGATTAAATTTATTTTAATTTATTAAAGTTAAGGAAAAACAATAAGATAATTCATGCATTATTATGAGTAATCTTATCTTATACATTAATACGAACTATATGGATCGAGAAAACTTTCATACGGTCTCTCAATTATTATCTTAAATGACTGATTTTCATATTTTTTAGTAACAATAGAAAATATTATAATCATGTGTATAAGGTGGATCTATCTATTCAAAATTTTGAATAATTTATAAAATTATCATCCCTAAAATATATTTATATTTAAAATTTTGTTTTATTTTGTCATGCTCATATATATATATATATATATATATATACATAAAAAGATATAGGAGAGGAAGTACCCATCATCCAAGAATATTTTTCACTTTTTTTTCCCAAAAGTGTGATTAAGACATTTAATAATATATATATATATATATATAGAGAGAGAGAGAGGGATGGGACTATGTTTAAACAAGACAATTATGCCGTCATAATAATTTTAAAATCTCAAAATTTTGGTAAAAATACATTAGAGAGTTCCCTGGACTTTAAAAAAAACTAATATATCTATTGTATTATTTTTCTTTTAATGTCGCCCCTCCAACTCGAAAAATATAC